AAAAAAAAAAAAAAAAAAGAAAGCTGGTGTAGTGAAGACCCCCTTTGGCTGGACAGCACAGCAGCAACTAGACTGAGATCCTACCAGACAAGGGTTCAATGATCACTGGTAGATGGTAAGTATCTGCAGTGGTGACTCTGACCTAGACACTGAAAACATTTATACAATTTATATTATCTTTGGCTCTGAACAGACCAGTACATAAAAACATATTAGACTAAGTGAATTTAAATAGAAATATAAAACTATTTACCATCAAAAGAATATACCCCACTTCAAGGTCTCAAAGGAGAATAAAAATCAATATATATATAATTATGCTTTATGTACAAAGTAAAAACATTATGTTGGAAGAATTTTAAATATGGTAGACTTGTGTGAAAAGATTTCCCTCAGGAAATGAGATGATCTTAAAGCCAATAAATGTAATTTTTTTTTTTTTTTTTTACAGGGTCTCCCTCTGTAACCCAGGCTAGAGTGCAGTGGCCCAATCTCAGCTTACTGTAGCCTCCACTTCCTGGGTTTGGGCGATTCTCGTGCCTCAGCCTCCTGAGTAGCTGGGATTACTGGTGTGCGCTACCATGCCCCACTAATTTTTGTATTTTTGGTGGATGGGGTTTCACGATGTTAGTCAGGCTGGTCTTGAACTGAACTCCTGGCCTCAAGCAATCTGCCCACCTTGGCCTCCCAAAGCGCTGGAATTACAGGTGTGAGCCACTGCTCCCAGTCAAATGTACATATTTCATAAGAAGAAAAATGATTGGCCAGGAGCGGTGGCTCTGCCTGTAACTCCAGCACTTTGGGAGGTAGAAGCAGGTGGATCACTTGCCTCCAGGAGTTCAAGACCAGTCTGGGTAACATGGTGAAACCCCATCTCTACAAAAAATACAAAAATTGGCCCAGCATGTTGGTGCAGGCCTGTAGTCCCAGCGTAGGAGGCTGAGGCAGGAGGATCATTTGAACCTAGGAAGTCGTGGCTGCAGTGAGCTGAGATGGCACCACTGCACTCCAGCCTGGGCAATACGGAGAGACTCTGTCTCAGAAAACAAAACAAGGCCGGGCTCGATGGCTCATGACTGTAATCCCAGCACTTTTGGGAGGCTGAGGCAGGTGAATCACCTGAGGTCGGGAGTCTGAGACCAGCATGTTCAATATGGTGAAACCCCATCTCTACTAAAAATACAAAATTAGCCAGGCATGGTGGCACACGCCCGTCATCCCAGCTACTTGGGAGGCTGAGGCAGAATTGCTTGAACCTAGGAGGCAGAGGTTGCAGTGAGCCAAGATTGCACCACTGCACTCCAGCCTGGGCAACAAGAGTGAAACTCTGTCTCAAAAAAACAGAAACAAATAAACAAGCAAAAAACAAAAACAAGTTAGTAAAACAATGAAAAAAATCATACATACTGTTCGAAAATGGCTACTTAGATGGTCTAGCCTGCTAAATCTTTTTCCGCAAGCTTGACATGGATAGGGCCTTTCTCCCGTATGACAACGAAGGTGGCGCTTTAGGTCTGCCTTCCGCTTTACCACGTGTGTGCAGTATGGGCACTTGAATCGCATCCGGGGCAGATCACCTGTCAAGAGATTGCTTGATTAAACCACTGGAAAGTTCATAAAAACAATTCTAATAACAGAAATAATTAAATCCATCCCCACTGGAAATGAGGAAAGAAAAAAACAAACTTAAAAAAATAAAAGAGATGAAGGAAATTTTATTAAGACTAGATTGTCAATGTAATCCTAAGTATAGAACATTAACTTCAGTATTTGATATATTTAGAAAGTTGGGTAAATTCAAAGTGCCATGCTTTTTTTTTTTTTTTTTTTNTAAAAAAAAAAAGAAAAAGAAAAAAAAAAAAAGAACCTGCTTTAGGGTGACAGTTAAAATATTTAACTTTAACTGTTAAGATATGGGCACCACCCAGACAGATGAGAAGCCTGACCAATTCTACTGGACACTGAACATAAACAATTACTTTGATCCTGCTTCTACATATCAGTCTATTATTATCTTTGCTCGCTTGCTATGTCTAATGGGAATACCATTCACAGGGTTAATGTGAGGACCAAATAAATTAACATGTATGAAATGCTTTGATAAACAGTTGCAGTTGATGAATAATTATGTATTATAATTAGTAATAAACAACTTTGTTCAATAGCTGTCAGAATAGTAGATTATGTTCTAATCTAAAAATTATTTATTTATTTTTATTATTTTTGTTTTTTAGAGACAGGGGTTTCACCATGTTGGCCAGTCTGGTCTTGAACTCCTGACCTTGTGATCCGCCCACCTTGGCCTCCCAAAGTACTGAGATTACAGGTGTGAGCCACCACGCCTGGCCTATTTATTTACTTATTTATATTTTTGAGACAGTGTCTTGCTCTGTCACCAGGCACCAGGTTGGAGTGCAATGGCGCGATCTTGGCTCACTGCAACCTCTGCCTCCTGGGTTCAAGCAATTCTCCTGCCTCAGCCTCCCGAGTAGCTGGGACTACAGGTGCACACCACCACACCCAGCTAATTTTTGTATTTTAGTAGAGACAGGGTTTCACTATGTTGGCCAGGATGGTTTCAATCTCTTGACCTCGTGATCCACCTGCCTCGGCCTCCCAAAGTACTGAGATTACAGGCGTGAGCCACTGCACCCAGCTCTAATCTAAAAATTATAAAAATTAATTGTGTAATGTTGAATCAATGTTTGGAATATTCATTTAGATAAAGTAAGGACAGTATAGAAGTAGGCCTCCAAACATAGTAAAAAAAAATCCAAGAGGCTTGGCTCAGTGGCTCACCCCTGTAATCCCAGCACTTTGGGAGGCCAAGGTAGATCACTTGAGGTCAGGAGTTTGAGACCAGCCTGGCCAACATGGTGAAACCCCGTCTCTACCAAGAATACAAAAACTAGGCCAGGCACCTATAATCCGAGCTGTCTGGGAGCCAACTGCTTGAACCCAGGAGGTTGAGGTTGCAGTGAGCTAAGATGGTGCCACTGCACTCCAGCCTGGGCGACAGAGCAAGACTCCATCTCAAACATAAATAAATAAACAATAAAAAATAAAAACAAAAAAAGCAAAATAAAATAAATATATAATCTATATCTTACAACCTTCAGGAGTTTCATTTTAATATAATTTTCCTTTAAATTTACATATAAACTTTTTTTTTTTTTTTTGACATAGAGTTTCGCTCTTGTTGCCCAGGCTGGAGTGCAATGGTGCAATCTCAGCTCACTGAAATCTCTGCCTCCCAGGTCCAAGTCATTCTCCTGCCTCAGCCTCCCGAGTAGCTAGGATTATAGGCATGTACCATCATGCCTGGCTAATTTTGTATTTTTAGTAGAGATGAGGTTTCTCCACGTTGGTCAGGGTGGTCTCGAACTCCCAACCTCAGGTGATCCACCAGCCTCAGCCTCCCAAAGTGCTGGGATTACTGGTGTGAGCCACTGTGGGCCCTGCCCTACAAGTAAACTATTAAGCAAAATTTGTTAACTGATTAATTGGTGGGGGGAAACTGGACGATATGCATTTCTTATCCCTAGTCTCTACTTCTGAGTGAGGGGAGGATTATTTTGAAACTGTCAATTTAAATGGTCTTTCTGCATTTTACTGTTATCATAAAAATGAGATGTCTCAAGTTGCATATTGGTCCATGGTAGATTTACAGTATCAGTGTTATGGGTTGTATGTGAGGTGTTTGTTCTTTTTTGGGTGGGGGATGGGGCCTCATTATGTTGCCTATGTTGGTCTTTAAGTTCTGGGCTCAAGTGATGCTCTGCCTGAGCCTCCCTAGTAGCTAGGACTAGAGGCATGCCTTAAAAAAAAAAATTATGGGCCAGGCATGGTGGCTCATGCCTGTAATCCCAGCACTTTGGGAGGCTGAGGTAGGTGGATCTCGAGATCAGCAGTTCGAGACCAGCCTGGCCAACACGGTGAAACCCCATCTCTAAGAAAAATATAAAAATTAGCTGGGTGTGGTGGCACTCGCCTGTAGTCACAGCTACTTGGGAGGCTGAGACAGGAGAATCGCCTGAACCGTGGTGGCGGTTGCAGTGAGCTGAGATTGTGCCTGGGTGAGAGTGAGAATCCATCTCAAAAAAAAAAAAAAAAAGAATTTGAATTTTAAAAAATTAAAAAATCCCATGAAAAAAAAAAAAGGAAAAAAAAAAAAAAAAAAAAAAATTAAAGGGAGTGGGTTAGGGATAAGAACACAGACATAAGACAGGCCATGAGTTGAAGGTTGTGGGACTAGGTAATGGTGCATGGAGATTAATTACACCATTCTCTTTACTTTTGCATATGTTTGAAATTTTTCTAAAATAAAAATTATGCGGGGCACAGTGGCTCATATCTGTAATCCCAGCACTTTGGGAGGCTCAGGTGGGAAGATCATTTCAGGCCAGGAGTTCAAGACCAGCCTGGGAAACACAGTGAGACCCCATCTCTATAAAAAAAAAGCAAAATAGAGGCCAGGTGAGGTGGCTCATGCCTGTAATCCCAGCACTTTGGGAGGCCAAGGTGGGTGGATCATGAGGACAGGAGTTCAAGACCAGCTTGGCCAACATAGTGGAACCCCGTTTCTATGAAAAATACAAAAATTAGCCAGGCATGGTGGTGCGTGCCTGTAGTCCCAGCTACTCAGAAGACTGAGGTACAGAATTGCTTGAACCAGGGAAGAGGAGGTTGTAGTGAGCCTAGATCACACGACTGCACTCCAGCCTGGGCGACAGAGCAAGACTCCATCTCAAACATAAATAAATAAACAATAAAAAATAAAAACAAAAAAAGCAAAATAAAATAAATATATAATCTATATCTTACAACCTTCAGGAGTTTCATTTTAATATAATTTTCCTTTAAATTTACATATAAACTTTTTTTTTTTTTTTNAAAAAAAAAAAAAAACTAAAGTGAAAATATGTGTCTTAGGGATTGAAGTATTTAGAAAAGAGCTTTAAACATTTAAGAGTAATCTGACCACCCACAGATAACAGTTTGGAAAATCATAGGTTTTGACCCTTAGTACTCTTAGTTTGATTGACATTATATTTATCCAATATTACTTTCAATTTAAAATTTTAAATCCATGTTGTATGAAATAAATTTCTTCTTTTTTTTTTTTTGAGAAAGAGTCTCACTCTATCGCCCAGGATGGAGTGCAGAGGCATGATCTCAGCTCACTACAACTTCTGCCTCCCAGGCTCAAGTGATTCTCCTGCCTCAGCCTCATGAGTAGCTTGGACTACAGGTGTGCACCACTATGGCTGGCTAAATTTTTTCTGTGTGTGTGACGGAGTCCTGCTCTGTCGCCAGGCTGGAGTGGAGTGGCACGATGTCAGCTCCCTGCAACCTCCGCCTCCTGGGTTCAAGTGATTCTTCTGCCTCAGGCTCCTGAGTAGCTGGGATTATAGGTATACACCACCATGCCTGGGTAACTTCTTTTTTGTACTTTTAGTAGAGACAGCATTTTGCCATGTTGGCTAGGCTGGTCTTGAACTCCTGACCTCAGGTGATCCGCCCGTGTCAGCCTCCCAAAGTGCTGGGATTACAGGCGTGAGCCACCACACCTGGCCTTACTAAATAAATTTCATTACAGAAATGGGACTTAAAAAAACTTGCTTCAACTGCCTAGAGCAGCACCTGAAACTAAGGGTATTTTGACAGAAGATTGATTAACATAGCAGTTTGGAATCTGGTTGAGGGGACTTATGCTCTTTACGGGTACCTGGAAAACTTTTGGATGTGACATCAGATCCTTGACCGTACTGATAGCCAACAGCAGTAGAGTCCATTTCAGCATCAATTGGTGCTTGTTCTTCAGACTGGGAAACATGGCTGGAAGAATCGGATGTGCGTGCTTCTCGTTTGTTTGACTTATAATGAGTAACTTCAGAAGGCTGTGACAATCTCAAATGTTTGGTCTTTTTAATGGACTCTTTCTTTGGTTCATGCTTGGCCAAGGGTTGTTGAGTATTCCTCTGGGAGGTTGAATGATAATTATACTTACTCCAGGATTTTCCACTTATTATACCTGTTCCTTGCTCTGGGCTTAGGTGAGAATGTGGAGAACTGCTTCCTTCTTGCCAGCCACCACTATAAAAAGAGGAGCGTTCTACACCATTAGAATTGGCATCTTTATCTGAGAGACTGAAATAGCGATCTTTTTCTTTCTCACTAATGTCTAAGGAAGATTTAATAAAAGTCTTACATACACTTATGACATCAGTCATCTGCAGGAAGCTAGCAGCTGACATCACTTCTATGACATTCTGACCAGTAAGAGACAGTTTGCCAGAATATACAAAGTCCAGGATAACTGTAAAGGTGTCAGGGGAGAAAGCCTGAAATGTAGCTGTGGTTGGCTGACTTGTCTCCTTTGAATTCTGAGAAAGAAGCATTTTAAAGTAGCCACTACTAGCAAATAATACATTTCGATGCGCTTTGAAGACCTTCCCTTCAACTAGAATACTGCAGTCACAAAATACATCTTGCCTGCGCTGTTCGTTCAGTTGCTGCAGAAGGTGAGACTGATGAGAGGAGATCTCCATTCTGAAGAAGAAAAGACACATGTGGTTACCAAAACCTACATTACAATTAATTTATTTTGTTTTGAGACAGGATCTTGCTCTGTTGCTCAGGCTGCCGTGCAGTGGTGTGATCAAAGCTCACTGCGGCCGGGTGCAGTGGCTCATTCCTGTAATCCCAGCACTTTGGGAGGCCGAGGTCACTTGGGGTCAGGAGTTTGAGGCCAGCCTGGCCAACATGGCAAAACCCCACCTCTACCAAAAATACAAAAATTAGCTGGGCATGGTGGCAGGTGCCTGTAATCCCAGCTACTTGGGAGGTTGAGGCAGGAGAACTGCTTGAACCTGGGAGATGGAGGTTGCAGTGAGCCGAGATCGCACCACTGTACTCCAGCCTGGCCACAGAGCAAGACTCTGTCTCAAAAAACAAATACCTCAAAAACAAACAAACAAAGCTCACTGCAACCTTGAACTCCTGGTTTCAAGTGATGCTCCTACCTCAGCCTCCCAAGTAGCTGGGACTCCAGGTGTGCACCATCCCACCTGGCTGTTGTTTTTTTTTTCTGTTTTTTTGTTTTTTTTTAAATAGAGATAAGGTCTCTATTTAAAAAACCAAATTACCGCCGGGCGCGGTGGCTCAAGCCTGTAATCCCAGCACTTTGGGAGGCCGAGGCGGGTGGATCACGAGGTCAAGAGATCGAGACCATCCTGGTCAACATGGTGAAACTCCGTCTCTACCAAAAATACAAAAAATTAGCTGGGCATGGTGGCGCGTGCCTGTAATCCCAGCTACTCAGGAGGCTGAGGCAGGAGAATTGCCTGAACCCAGGAGACGGAGGTTGCGGTGAGACGGAGGTTGCGGTGAGCCGAGATCGCGCCATTGCACTCCAGCCTGGGTAACAAGAGCGAAACTCAGTCTAAAAAAAAAAAAAAAAAAAAAAAAACAACAACAACAAATTACCACTGCTGGTCTCTAACTCCTGGGATTAAGCAATCCTTCTGCCCCATCCTCCCAAAGTGAACAATCCTTTTCTAAGGTGAGTCAAGTAAAATAATAATCAGAAGCCTCTTTTATTCTATTAAGAACACTTTCTTGGAGAATACAATCACCAAGACACAGAAGATAATAGGTTTCAACATATTATTTAATATTAGACTGTTAGTAGATTTTTAGAAAATTACTTGTTTTATTAGCAAAATTTATTGAGCATCTTCTTTCATTTTATAAATATAGAGATGGGGTCTCACTATGTTGCCCAGGCTGATCTTGAACTCCTAGGCTCAAGCCATCCTCTGGCCTCAGCCTCCCAAAGTGTTAGGATTACAGGCATGAGCCACTGTACCCAGCCAAGCATCTTCAATAAATCAGGCCTTCTGCTATAGGCGGAACCAACACATTTCATTTTTGCCTTCATGTTGTTTTCAATCTAAAAGGTTTATCAGACATTAAACTAAGACTCTAGCCCAGGGCGGTAGCTCATGCCTGTAATCCCAGCACTTTGGGAGGCAGAGGCAGGAGGACAGCTTGAGCTCTGGAGTATGAGACCAGGTTGTTCAACATAGTAAGATCCCATCTCTACAAAACAAATTTATTTTTTAATTAGCTGGTGTGATGGAGAGTACCTGTAGTCCTAGCTACCTGGGAGGCTAAGGCAGGAGGATCACTTGAGCCCAGGGGGTGGAGGTTGCAGTGAGCCATGATCATGCCACTCACTGCACTCCAGCCTGGGCCACAGAGACAGTCTGTCTCTAAAAAAAGTTAAAGTAGGCCGGGAGTGGTGGCTCACGCCTGTAATCACAGCACTTTGGAATGCTGAGGCAGGCGAATCACTTGAGTTCAGGAGTTCGAGACCAGTCTGGCCAACATGGCGAAACCTCATTTCTACTAAAAATACAAAAAAAAAAATTAGCCAGGTGTCGTGGCACATACCTGTAATCCCAGTTACCTGGGAGGCTGAGGCAGGAGAATCACTTGATCTCAGGAAGTGGAGGTTGCAGTGAGGTGAGACTGCACCACTGCACTCCAGCCTGGGTGACAGAGTAAGATTCCGTCTAAAAAAACAAAAAGTTAAATTCAACAAAGAGCTGTATGAAGTTACAATGACAAGTTAAGTGCTAAGAAAGAAAGAAGGTGCTATGTGTAGGCTATGAGTAGTATCCTATTTTAGACTGAGATGGAGAAGGTTAGGGATACCTCTCTGAGAAGTAACATTTAAACTGAGACCACAAAGTTGAGCAGGAATTATCCAGGTAGAGTGAGGAGAAAATTTTCTGGTTCCAGCAAAATAGTGGTGAAAACTTTCCTGCCACAAATCCTTAGAGACGTTAGATAAAATATAGCCAAAGTTTGGGCTTGCAAGAAAGATGTAGAAATCCCTAGATGCCAGCTAAGTGGAGAGAGCGCAGCCCAAGCTGTGAGGACCAGGAATGGCTAAGGGACTAGGTCCTTACCAGTACCAAACTTTGATCTATTAGAGCTGAGAGCTGGGAAGTTAGAACCCTCTGAGGACCACTACCTTAGTGAAAAAGGACTAAAAATTCTGACCATAAGTCCAAGGAGAAGGTAAATGAAGTTTGTCTTTGCAGGGCCTTGAGTAGGGAAAAAAAAGGCCCTATGTGAGATATCGAAGCCCAGTGGTTTGCCTTGTGACATTCCAAAGACCAGATTTAATTTACCTGATTGGTGTGGGAAATTTCAACCTGAAAAATTAACCTGGGACAAGTGCAGTGGCTCACGCCTGTAATCCCAGCACTTTGGGAGGCTGAGGCAGGCAGATCGCTTGAGCCCAGGAGTTCAAGACCAGCCTGGGCAACATGCTGAGATCCCTGTCTCTATAAAATAAATTAAAATAAAGTTAAAAAAAAAAAAAAAGAAAAATTAACCTGAAAATTGGTCCTGGGCTGGTGGTGTCTTCAGGACACTTTGCAGAAGCAAATGCAACATTGCTCGGGTGGGGGTGGGTCTCTGAATCCAAGCCAGGCAGAAATAAGCTGTGCTTAAGCTGAACTCAAAATCATTCCCCTCTGTACACAAAGTGGGTAATTTCCAATATTGTACAAACATGATATCAAGTATCTCCTATCTTAAAAACAAACAAAGAACAGGTGTGGTGGCTCACACCTATAATCCTAGCACTTTGGGAGGCTGAGGCGGGTGACTCAAAAACAGACAAACAAACACACAAACAAACAAACAAATGTGCCAACAAAAACCTCCCCTTAATTTCACATCTACTTTTGGCTACTATTCCATTTTTCTTTTCTTTGTGTAAACTCCCTTTATACAAAATTCATTGAAATAGTTTTGCTTTGTTTTGTTTGTATTTACTGTCTCCACGTCTCCTCCTGTCTCTTTTGAACCCATTCCAGTCAGGTTTTCATCACCATAAATCAAAACCATTCTTTTATTTTTTTTGAGATAGAGTGTCATTCTCTTGCAGTGCAGTGGCTTGATCTTGGATCACTGCAATCTCTGCCTCCTGGGTTCAAGCGATTCTTCTGCCTCAGCCTCCTGAGTAACTAGGATTACAGGCGCATGCCACCACACTGGGTGAATTTTTGTATTTTTGGTAGAGATGGGGTTTCACCATGTTGGCTAGGCTGGTCTTGAACTCCTGACCTCAGGTGATCTGCCTGACTCGGCCTCCCAAAATCCTGGGATTACAGGTATGAGCCATGGAGCCTGGCCAAAATCATTCTTCTTATGGTTATTAGTAATTTGCATGCTACCAAATCCAATGATCATTTCTTTGTCTTCACTTTGCCCACACAGTTGATCATTGTCTTCATCCTAAAACACTTTCTTCACTTGGCCACCAGGGCACCACTCCTTCATGGTTTTCCTACCTCACTGGCTACTCCTTCTCAGTCTCCTTTGCTGGTTCTTCTCCATTTTCCTAATCTCCAAATTTTGGAATGTACTGGGTCTCAGGCCTCAAATATCTTCTCTACCTGTATCATTCCCTAGGGAGCATTTAGAATCCTATCCAGGCTCGCACCAAGCAAGCAATCAGGTCTGCATCAGACACCATCAAGGTGTCCTGTAATTCAATTCAATTCCAACACTATGTACCTGGAGAGAGCATCAGATCCCACAGGTTGAAGGCACAGTCCCATAAGGCACGCCCCTACTTCTGAGCCAATTGCAGGCCCCAGCTTGTTTTATGTGTGCTTCTGACTGACCAGCTAAAATTGTGGTTCCTATGGTGCCCTCCTTACGTTTGATTAATTTGCTAGAGTAGCTCACAGAACTTAGGGAAACACTTAAGTTTCCCGGTTTATCATAACGGATATTACAAAACATACAGAAGAGGAGAAGCATAGGGCAAGGCACGTGGGAAGGCGCTTGGAGCTTCCATGCCTGCCCCAAGTGCACCACCCTCCAGGAACGTCCACATGTTCAGCTATCTGGAAGCACTCCAAATCCAGTCCTTTTGGGTTTTCTGGAAACTTCATTACGTAGGCATGAGTAATTGAATCATTGGCCATTAGTGATCAAATTAACTTTTAGCCTCTCTCTCCTCCGCAGAGGCTGGCAGGGTGGGCTGAAAGTCCTACCTTTCTACTCCTGCCTGATCTTTCTGGTGAGCAGTCCCAAACCTTAAGCTACCTAGAGGCTGCCGGCCAGCCATCAGTCAATACATTAGCATACAAAAAGAAATCACGTTGGAGATGCTAAGGATTTTAGTTGTATGCCAGGAAAGGGGGATGAAGACCAAACATATATTTCATAATATCATAGCATCTTTTAAAAAAAATTATTTGGCCGGGCGCGGTGGCTCAAGCCTGTAATCCCAGCACTCTGGGAGGCCGAGGCGGGTGGATCACGAGGTCAAGAGATCGAGACCATCCTGGTCAACATGGTGAAACCCCGTCTCTACTAAAAAAATACAAAAAAATTAGCTGGGCATGGTGGCGCGTGCCTGTAATCCCAGCTACTCAGGAGGCTGAGGCAGGAGAATTGCCTGAACCCAGGAGGCGGAGGTTGCGGTGAGCCGAGATCGCGCCATTGCACTCCAGCCTGGG